GGCGCTCTCCTCCACCACCTACCGCTCTTCCAGGCCTTACCTCTCCCAGCCGCAGTTTCTTTGGCGATGCAACAATTCTCCAAAGCGAAGTGTTTCAGGGCAGGTTGTCTGCTGTGTGTGTGTTTTAAAGGATTGCCGCAAGAATTTGCTGATCCCCGCAAGTGGCCCGAGGGGCTGTGGAGGGGGGAGTGTGGGGGAGACTGTCCTAAGACGGGGCTGATGCCAGATCCTGTGGCTAGATGCTAGAGGCCACCACAAGGGGGGCTGCGCCTCCCAAACCCCCTCAGAGGCTGAGGACCCCTCCCCTGTGCTCCTGGCCTTCTGGTTCCAGGAGCAGGCTGGGGCCCTGCCCCAGCGCAGGTGTGAGGGATTTTCTCTTTCTCTGGGGCCGGTCACGGCCCAGCACCCCGATCCACCCCTACCTGTCCTATGTGACACACGATAGCACCTGCCATGAGGTGTGGGGGATGGCACATCGTCTTTGCGCCTCTTTGAATGTAATGTGGGGTCCCTTAATAAACTTTTGATGTAGTTAACGCTGGAGTTGTAACCCTCTTCAGTCTCCGAGCCTGGGAAGTTTTACGTAACAGGGCCTCCAGGGAAGGGTCTCTCCTTGACTCTGGGGGCCTGTTGTCCTTATGAGAAGAAGGGAGACCACGCTTTTGTTAGGCAGCCACACTGGGCCAGGACCTGGCGATAAAGGCTCATTAGGACATGGGGAACCACAGTGCCCTCCCTAGAATCTGTGGTGGAGCTTGGGTCTCAACTGAGCCTGTATCCTTGCAGAATTCTCAACCATCCCCATTCCTGGGTGGCTACACCATCAGAGGTCACTAAGCAACTCCCACGGGCCACTTGACAGTGTGGAGGGGGGACTCTCTCAACCTTTAGCTTGGATCCCGTTTTCATGCCTCTAAATGGGAGGCGTCGCTCACTCAGGCTTCCCCTGTTGATGAACATTGATGAAGGTTTGCTGTGGCATGGAGCTGGGGATCCCGCCGAAAACCTGCCAGATGTGGTCTCTTGCCACCAGCTCTCACTTGCTGGAACAGGAGGTGGGAATGGAGAATATCAACTCTCGGGTAACAGTGAAATGGTAAATGTACAAAGTTCTCCTGAGGACAGGGTGGCTTCCAGGGGCCTTGGTTAGGAATATTTCCTGGAGGAGACTGCATTAGCCAGATTGGGGTGGGGGAAGAGTATTCTAGGCAGAAGGAACAGAAAGAGCAAAGGCCCAAGGACCTGGGACTGCCAGGTCCTAAGACCTTGGCCACCATGCTCAGGGTGCTGGCCTTTGTGGGTGGAAGCAGTAGAGCTGAAGTTGAGACTTTGCTGTTGACCCCTTGCCCTTAGGCAAGTTGCATAAACCCTGGTGCCTCAGTGTCTTCCTCTGCGGAGTGGGGATAGTAATAATACTGTGTAGGGTTGATAGAAATCTAGTCAAAGCATGTAGCATAATATTGGTACTGTATACAGTACCAGTTTTCAAGTGAGTGGTGATTAAAAACATGTCACTGACGAAAGGGGTCTGTGGGCTGCTCTTGGTGGGAGCTGTGGACAAAAAAGGGGGGTTCTATGGAAAGTAACCTCACAGGGTGATTTGATCATAAATTCCTAACTGGGCAGGACATGGTGAGTAGTCACCACCCCGACTTCTTTAGTTAAAGGTTTATCTTTGCCTTAAGTAAGCCCTTTCCACTGTTTCTGTGAATTGAAGTTAATGCCTCTTTGAAGTGCCTCTTTTTAGACCCCTCTTTCCAAAGGGTGACTGTTAGATGGGCCAGGTACAGAAGCCAGGAATAGAAACCTGGCATGGAGACTCACCAGGGCAGGAAGCCCCCATGCCTAGCAAGGGGCGAAATGGGAAAACAAGGGCCTTGTCCCCAGGGTAACCTGTCCTCCCCTAGCATATGGCTGGTCACGTGGTTTAGAACCCCAGAGGGTTCTTCCCTAAAGGTAACATCTAGGCCTCAGTTGTATTTCAGCTCCAGGCCCAGAAAAGCAGCAAAACCAGACAAGTGGTGCCATAGTGGCTGCCTGAGAACCAGCCACATTGACTAATGTGGCCACCATGTCCAGGGCAGCCTGTCATCGACCTATCAGTGGAGACCATGACTGATGGTCTCCTGGAAGAGCACACCTGGAAAGCTGATGAATATTCTATTGAGACCCTCCCCTGAGACCTCCCTGAAGATTTCCACCTGCAAGAGAGAGATGAATACACTTGGGACAAAGGACCCAGCAGCTCGCTCTCCCCACCAGGGGAGCACAGCAGCACTATCTCCTTTCCTCTTCTTCCCTTTGAGGGGCCACCAGGAGATTTGCAACCAGGGGCGCAATGGGCAGCGGCAGCTCATCCTGGGCTTATCCCCTGGTCCTGTCTCCAAGGCCCCTTCTCTCTCTGACTTCTCAGGGAGCCAGAGCAGCCCAGCCTGGGCTCTCCTCTTGCCTCTTCTATGCCCTTCCTTGCTCACTGTCCCAAGTATATCTTTGCTGCCATCATGGACCCAGTACCCTTTGGCTCAGTGCTATGTAGCCCTTCACTTTGGATACTCCTCTTTTTAATAAATTCAATTTTTCTTTATTCACTGTCTGAGATGGCGATGTAGCCCGCTGGCACACCACTGACCTTAGCCTTTCAGTTACCACCCTCAGGAGAGCACACGGTCTCATTAACTATCCTGTAATCCCGTCCTGCCTAGCCTGGTTTTCTCCCACCTTTACATAATCTTTCTTAGGTTCCATCCTTAATTCCAAATGCATACAAGAAACTGCGCACTGTCATTTCTTGGAAGCATTTATCTTGGAGTCTGTTGAGATCTTGCTTCCAGGCATATCCTTTGTTTGACTCAGTGTTTGGATGTTTCTTACATCTACAGAGCAGAAAGGCAGGGGTGGGG